GAGGCCGCGTCGGGGCCGCCCCCGCGCCGCTGCGCCCGCCCTTCCCCGGGCGCCTCCCGAGCTCCCCGCCAGGTCTGGTGGCCCCTCGGCCTGGGCAAAGGTAGGGTAAGCGCTCTGACCCGGCGCGGGGGCCACCCTCGCCCACGGCCTGCGCTCCCCAAGGTCGGAGCTGGAAACCTCGCCCCTTCTCCTAACCGCCCTCTCCGCTTTAGGGTCTTGTCTTCTACGCGCCCCCCTTCCGCCAGCATGCACCCCTGCCCAGAGACGCCGCCCTGGCCCGCGCCCCCCAAAGCCAGCAGAAGTGCGTCTCCTTCCCTTGTTCTGCTTATTGTTCCTCTGTCTCCAACACCGCCACAGCCATGAGGGTCTCCCGCAGGAGCGCAGGAGACTGAACGACTCAAGGCCAGCTGGGGCCCCTGGACTGGCCCATGGAGGTGTCACTGATGTGATGTGTGGCATGGGAGCCTGGCCAAAAGCCCTGCTTTACCCTGCGCCCTCTTTTCTCCCAACGGCCAATTGCCAGGTGGCCTCCAGCTGGATTTCTTGAACCATTGACTTTCATCAACAAAGCTTGGACGCAAAGATCTCTAAACTGAACTCAGGAAGGCCCTCCCGAAACCACACCACCTTGGGATGTAAATGATACTGGGACATGCCGCTTTTTAAATGACAAGCGTTATTGTTTTTCCAGCTATCATCAACATTTGTGATGACTGCTGAGACTACAGTGGGGTATGCCCAGTGTGGGCGAGGCCCCAGGGACACAGCATCAGCAGCTAGCATCACCCCAGGAACAGACCGCAGTCACCCCTTGTTTCTCTACCTCCTGGCTCCAACTCTTGTTTCTCAGTACTGTAGGGCCTCAGCATAGTGTTGTGTCATTTGTACCCTGCACAGTGTCCTCTGGTGGAGTGGCTATAGGTAGGCAACTGAGTTGAAGATCCAGCCTGGGCTCGAAAGGGGCAAAGTGGGGTGTGGCTCAGAGAAAGGGTTATTTTCTAATTTGCACAAAGACCCTTGCATGGGTCACCTGACACTGGAAGTCAAATCGTCCTCCCCTGCCACCTGCAACTGCGAAATAAGCACATGTGGACTTGTGGAGGAAGAGGGCAGGGAGAAAATATGCGAAAGGTTGTAGCAATTTCTGTTACAAAATGGAGAGAAAATAAGCCTTGGGCTCTCAAAAAACAGGAGGCGTGGTCCTGCCTGAACCAAACATTAAGATGAGGGAGGAGGTTAGCAGCGAGCAAGAGTGAAGATACCCTGGTTTTATAGGGGTATAGTGAGGATGGTTGGATGTAACAGGCACCCAACTCAGAACCAACAAGAAAACCTACAGTGCAGGAGATTGGAATGTACTGGCTCATATGCTTATAAATCCCAAGAGTAGAGCTGGGGGGTGAAAAAAGAGAGAGAGTTTTTAAAATCTTTTTTTTCTTTCTCCAGATACTCGAAGAGAGTCAGGATGCAGTTTCTCTCCATATCATGGCTGTGATTTCATTGCACTGGTTTTATTTTCCGTAATCTGGACCTAGACCTACAGGCCCAGGCTCACCTCCTCCCTCCTCCAGTCTCCTTAGCAGTTGATCCCATTAGCAAGAGAGCAGGCCAAGGAATGAGTCTCATTGGACTCACTTGGATTCTGTGCCCATCTTGCAGATGGGCACATTATAACCATGGGTTGGAACACACACATCCAGATTGTCTGAAAAAGGTCAGGGAAGACATCTTTAGTGCCCACGCTCCCTCCAAGCCAGATGGACTGAGTGGGAGAGAGGAGGGAAAATTAGTGTTGTTAACAAAGAGGAAATGAATGTTGAGTAGGTAAAGGCTATAGATGACCCATGCCCACCTGTACATACACACCACCGAAGGGACTGACTACCAACTGCCTGGCTCCTCTGCCAGTAGCCTCAGAATAAGAAGAATGTTGGTGGTTGTGGGATTTCAAGTAATTGAACCAGCAGCACATCCTTTGGCTTCAGAAGCCACTGGGAAGGGCCTCAGTAATGTTTAACAAACCACTTATAAACAAACAATATCTAAAACATAATTGTATTCAATAACTTTTTTCCCTAAACCATGATACATCTGCCTCTACATGCCTCCAATGCTTTGTGTCATTATGTGATCAATTCAACTTAATAAGAGTCCATAGAAATTTCTTGTTGCATATGTGTTCAACTTGAGAAAGAAATGTCGCCTATGAATAATCACATTTCAGTATCCAAGTGACATAGGGCCCAGCTTCATTTTCAAACTCCAATAAGTTGTTCTTAATCTTTTTGGAGATAGCACAGAGTTTAAATTTTGTATGCTAAAAATGCCAAACCGTATCAGCCTTTTTCTTCCCACACAAGGACTATTCTGACAGTTGTCCATAAAAATGTTTCATATATTCTGTTTTCGTCCTATATTTTATGGAAGAATTTCTTGTATATCATAGAAAAATGGACTTAAAAACTCAGAAGAGACTTTAGAATTAACCTGCAATAGCCCCTTTCATTATAGGGATGAAGCAATTAAAGTTGGGGGTAAGGGGGGGAATGAAAAGGGTAAAGGAAGTCAAGCACGTGGTGACGGGAGACTAGACTTTGAGTGGTGAGCACACAATGGAGTATAAAGATGTTGTGTTATAACGTTGTACACTTGAAACATATAATGTTATTAACCAATGTTACCCCAATAAATTAAAAAAAAAAAATTTAAAGAAAAAGAAGCTCAGAGATTGACTTGTCTAGGGTCACAAAGCTGTTTTTAGCATATGTGATGTGCTAGGCATTTTGAAAAGTGCAGAAGCAAAAGCATACAACATGGTCACTGTCCTCAAAAAGGTTAAGTTTAATCAAGGACACATAACCGTATAAGATATAAGACAATTACAGAGCATCACAATCTATCAAACAATTTAGTATTTTTTAAAATGTGATGAGCTCTCTGTGTTAACTATAGGCATTGAAATAAGAGACACTATGAGCTGTGTAGTCTGGGAAATGCTTTTCCACCAGGAACCAACTTGATGGCCTTTAAAATATGAGAGAAAAAAGGGAGGAGGGGAGCTTTCCCTATGAGAAAACAAACAAAATGAGGAGGCACTGATGAGGAAAAGATTTTGCCATGTGTCTGGAACAGAAATTAAGTCTATACTGTCATGGTTTAGACAAGTGTTTCAAACTGCAAGTCATAAAGTCATTTTAGTGGGCTTTGATTACTATTTTTTAATTAAGTAAAACAAAATATCAGTGCTTCATACTTAATAAGATTAAGTGTTATTTGTTAAACTTGTGTTTCATTATCTTATGTGTTCAAAGTAATACCTTGGGTCATTTTCAAAAAAAGTTCAAAGCCCCTAGTTCTGAAGCCATAGAGACCAGGTGCGAAATTCTGCTTTGTAGCAAGACCGAGCAAATAGCATCTCTCCAAGCAGCAGTTTCTTTATGTGGGAGAGCTTTTCTGCACAGTAAGACCCATAACTGATACAGATTGGAGATTTTTAGTCCTGATTGCATATGAGAATCATCTGAGGAGCTTTTTCAAAATTCCAATACCTGGGTCCCACCCTCAGAGACCCAGACTCAGTTGTGGACATCAGTGACTTTAAAAGCTCCCCTGGTGTGGTCATGGCTGCAGACTCCTGGGCTGGACCCATAGCAGAACACATCTAGCACCAAACATCTAGAGGATGGTGACACACTGTCTCTTTCTTTAGTGGGCACATTGACCCTCATGATTTATATTTCTGTTTCTTTACCAAACAATGATTAGCATGCTAGGTAGTCACCAGAATTATTCTTTATACTCTGAAAATCTTCAACTGTGGTGCAAACTGCTCATGGTTAATCTCCGTCAGTAGCACAGCATGGACCCTGAGTCATAGTCTCTTA